TTAGCTAGGTGATCCTATGCGAAAGGAAGAGTCTTCACCACTTTGCGCAAGTTGGAGTCGGTCATTCTCGATGAATGAGACAGCAAATGACTTGAGAACATCCCGAATATAAAGGCAAGCATGCTGAGATATTGTATTTCAATATTTATCATTAGGGATCACTGCCTTTCCTGACCAGTTTATAGTTTGAGCCACTTGTCTAGACGTGGGATTATTTGCATTTCGCACCCTCTCAGGTTCCTTTAGGAGAATAAATTCATTTATCCGTTCTACACATCAAATCCGTGTGCATTGTGATATAGTAGTGAGTTGACAAATAGTCACATCAGTTTTGGTCCTTCTAAATGGTTCAGTTTAGAATAAAACACAGAAAAATAGAAACACCGAGTGGGTTTATTAGCATTTCTTGTACTTTCGAAACCGAGTTCCACTCTGAGTGCACAAAACGTGAAATATTGCGTACCGTATGCTGTATATATATATATATATATATATATATATATATATGTATATATATATATTGAATAGTTTCATAGTCATATTAGAACGGCATAAATAGAGGGCTAAATTTTGCCTCACTGATCCCCAATCTTGTGCTCATACATCTTATGGGGACAATAGCGCACTTGATTAACTGGTGGCTGGTTGGTGTAGGGACATTGTCACAATAGGTGAGATGGAGTGGGGAGGGGTGGTGTTCTTCCATTAGTGTACGGTAATGCTGAATCGGCCACTGATGGTGGGCTTTCGGTGGTCATAATTCGCTTCGAATGCTTTGTTAAAAACCGAGTTTACAATCGAATTCGACCGAATACATGTTTTCACTCACTCCTTGTTTAGCTTGGTAAGCGCAAATTTCAATTCCACTGTGTGAGGTTTCTGTAAAACGATAGATGAAAAGAGAAGCAGTCAGTTGCATCCATCAAACATTCTTTGGAGTGAAGTGACGCAAGGGACTTCAGCACTCATGTAATGTATTTGCTGATAGAGCTTCATCCCGAAAACACCAATTCCTAAACACGTCCATTTCAAACTTGCAAATTAATGATTAAGTCACATATTTACTTCAAACCATTCTGTGAACAAACAAACAAATCGGAATATAGTATTTTTTCGACTACAATGTATCCAACCGAAATGACGAAGACACAAATCTATTTTCAAGATTTCGAAAGTTTGCAATCAGCTAATATGAATAAGAATGGTAACAGAATATCAAAAACGAACATCCCATAATCAATAATCTGACTGAGACTCCAAAAACCGGTTTCAGCTACTAATTGTTGTTCCTGACCGAAATAAATTGGTTCAGGGAGATTTATTTCCATGGTTTCACTTACTCGTCTGTTGAATGTCAGAGGTGGTCGAATAACCCAGTGTTTCACTTGTGCTTTCTTATGTAGCCACTTCGACAACCTTGATTCCACTTGATCCAACCAGTAGACTTGTTGTGCGACCACTTGAAGTGTAGCAGATCGTTGAATCTGACCAATATCTCCAACTGCAAGACCAATCTGTGATCAAAATCCACAATTCATTGCAGATCACGAATAAAAGATAGTTTCACGTTAGTGTTGAAAATGAAACTCGCTATCTAAGGAAACAACGGGCGCTCTAAAAGCGACTCAATCTTATCATGCATCAACGAATTAATTGTGATCGATATCGTATTCTTTTATGGTGCATTCGGTACACTTTCGAATTTCATTCCTCTCCACGAACAAATGAAAAGAAAAGAATTATGCAATGAAATTCAACCATCTCACTACCAAACACGTATTCACTATTGAAGAGATACACAACACAGTCAGGGACTCATCGGTATACTATCCTCTGTTGCAGAAGAGTTTTTGGGGTCTATCACAGGACCACGATAAAATTTGTCAATAGTGTTGTGTTCCAAATTCGGTTAATAGAATGAAGGCGCACTTTTACGGGTGAACGTGTATTCTGTAGCAACGTACTCTAAACGCCAGTACAAGCACGCAAGTGAAGAGCAAACACGTGTGCAAGTGCGTAATTCAGTGATTTACAAAATCGGAAGCGTAAAACATTGTACAACAGGATCAAGCTGCGCAAGGTTGTGCAACACGTGATGCAGTCTGATCGGACGAAACTCCCCAAACGTCAACTGCGTACGTGTGTGTGACCACATGGTTGTACACAGCAAATGGTACATTTACCAAAGTGAGGCCAGAACACGTCGTAATGTACTGAGTTTCTGTTCCGCCAACCCAGATGTTTAACAGGTAAATGTTTATTGTTCAGTAATACAGCGTTATCGGAAACGTTGGTAGTCAGTCGAATTTTCGGTTACCGCGGGTAACCTTTCTCGATTGCAAACTGGTCTTGAGAAAGGTTAACTGTGGTAACCGAAGCGTCGACTGACTACTATCTTTTCTAATAATGCTGTGGTACCGAACAATAAACACTTACCTATAACGTAGCACATGGCGCGTCGTTTTTTCGATGCACTCCGAAAGGATCTGGGATCTGATAAATTAATTCAAGATGCTTTAGCTTAGTTCTTGACGGATAGCTTGAAGCCAGTACTCCTTTTTCTTTTCTTTAAGTGAATAAAGCCACTACACTATCACACAAAGATCAGGTCCATGATCTTCTTCTCATCAAAGGACCCTAGGTTTTTGAAAACATCAACTAATAATGTTGAGTACTTGTCTAATATGAGTAATAGTTCGCTTCTTTCGTTTCGGGCCATATCGGTAGATGATGGTAATGAACCCATAAATATTGATTGTGCCGCGGAGATTTGACGTTGTAGAAGACCCCTCTTAAAATAGCAACCTGATAATATTCCCCAGGCCTTCAGCTTGGTTTGTTGACATTGTGTACCGAGCATTTTCTAGGTTCACATAGGCGATTTATATTGGTGGACATGTGAAGGTGACAGTCACTGCGTTTCCCTGTCCAGTTTAGAGCTTAGAATACAAGGAATAGATGAGATTTCTTGTTGATAAACGTCACTCAAGTAAAAGGGTAGTAGCTGCCTGAAGTAGGGTACAGAAATTGAAATGTGTATTTTTACACTTTGATTATTTTAGTAGGCCTGTTGGAATCGAAGTCTGACAGACCGAAGAATGACTGGTGCTACATGCATAGGCCTGAATGACTGGTTACCTCATGTATGGATGTTAATTTCTATCGAGAAGCTATTTAGTACATTATTCAAACTGTGAGATCCAACTGTTCTAGGCTTCAGTCTAATTTACATGATATGAATCGATTAGCATTCCCATTGGTTCTTGAACATCTGCTCCCCAAGTCTTGAGACACATGATCAGTGTATGGGGCATCATCCCAGTGTTGAACTCGAACCGCTCATGATAATGTAAGTGCTCCTTGGATTAGGTTTTGATTGATCGTTTGAAGCCAGCATACCATGATTTGATGTTTTCCACTCACTCGAACTGTATGGATAATACTGTTACACAATCACACAACAATCCGGTCTGATGATGAGTTTCTTTTCACCAGGAGACTCCAAGTACTGTGAAGTCATGGCTGAGTGGGTAGTCAAACGAGGGTAGTCCACAAACCCGCAAATGAGCAGCAAATAATCATTAGCATACCCACATACTCAGGTTGGTTGGTAGTCAAGTAATAGAGTGAGAAGAATCAAGTTATCAAGAGGCCCAATATGTGTTTCAGTACACGAATGAATTAGTGAGCATGTGAACACACACTCTAGCAGACGGAATTTTTCATCTTGAAAAATCAGGAGGTAAGCAATCAAGAAAAGAGGTTTCTCTTTCTAAGGGGAGACAATGAGGCCATCGGAGTAAACAGGCAGCTTCAAATTGCGATCGAATTGTGCGTAATTCTCTGCTGGATCTCGTGTCTAGTTCTCCTCTCTACCACTTTTCCCCTCACAACCGAAAGACTGACTATTCGCGGATTCCGACTCTCATCGTGTCACAATTCAAATGCACCTGTGGAGCAAATTACTTGAGTCGAAATCCAAAAAGACCTTTTGAAAGCATATTGAAGCAAGAACTAGTGAGGAGTGGTAAAACCGTAATTATCATCATTTTGAAGAAATCGAATTGTTTTCGGGAAGCCATTGAGGTCTGTCGTCCTATCTACACCACTAAAGATGGACCAGAAAGAAACAGTAAAAGACGAACTCTATCGATTGTGATTCGGCTGAACGATACCCCTCTGTGTTCCTAGGAATACCGAATGGTCTATGAGTCCATCCTAGTCATCAGCTCAATAGACCACAAACTAGTCATCAACTGCGTGCAACCGACATGACAAATAACATTACATATCTCAGTTGGGAGTACCACCATGTTTTGGTGTGTAACTGTCACCGGTCGTCATGTTATTTCCATTACTCCAACCCCAATACACACAAAACCTGTTGTATTTAGCCACTTGTGATGAAAGTAAAATAAGATTTATTGATACCCTGTGTCGTAGCAGTTTAACCGAGTGAGTGAGTCTGTAAACTGAGTTACCGGTTAGAAGGAAATACATCAATCGGCAGATTTATGCTTATGAAAAAGTCATTGCAAATGATTTCGCGTGTGCCTTATGAATGAATACGGTATATTATCTCGATCTTTGGACAAAGCCTAAAACCAGTGACTGCCAGCAGTAACCAACAATCACGTTGTTTGTAGTGTAATTTCACGCATACATCACAGAAAATAGTCACCGGTCCATTATTGGGATACAACCAGAATGCTCAAGATGTTGGTAAAAGTGACTAACTGGTCCACATGTATACCTCACCATTAGGTTCACCAGTGATATAGGCATTGTAAAAGCGAATGCCGCGTAGAACGCAAATGTCAGTACGACCGTGTAAATTGTGGCAGAGAATCCATCCAAATAGGGCCTGGTAATCACCTCTGTATGCTCGTATTCACCAAGTATCATCATCAATGTTTGAAAGAGTGCCATATTCACATTTCCGAATGCTCTAACTGGAAGTTGCATCTCCGGTCGACTTCGGATCTCCGCCTCAGAACGATTCAAGTGTTCGTATCCGAGGAAACAATAGGCCAATCGATTTTTCGTCTCTCTTGAATAGTGTAAGTATTCCTTTCAGGAAATAAATAACAAATGGAATAGAAAGTCGAGTGAACATTGTAAATATTGCATCAAAACATCTCGCCATCTGCATTTGGTAGATCTATTGAGTTCAAGACTATTTGATTCATGTTCAGGTTCTCCCTGTTTCTCTCCCGAAACCTCGTTCCACGTTTATTGTGTTTTCTTGGCTATATTTGCGCTGCACTTTCTATCTGATTCAATCACACATTAGACAATGACGCCGGATTTGGTCTAACCAGTTTATTTTGATCTAAGGCCCCCAGACCATTTTTCTCATAGACATTTTTAATGGTTTCCCAGTCAGAGAAGATCACTATATGACAAAGCTGCGCTGGAATGTGAAATTTTATCGAAATTTTGTTGGTAACTTCAGCTATACGGCTACCAGCTCGCAGTTTGAGTTGTTATTTAGACAGCCAATTTAAATGTCCCGAAACTTCGAGGCAGAAATTGGTAAAACTTTGAATATAGAATTCTCCAAAGGTGATTGTAGTTACTGATGAATAAATATTGATCATATCAGAATCATTTATTTTTGGCGAAGTGATTACCATGTGTCTGCTTGACAGAAAAAAGCAAAACCAAGTGGAACACAGTTGGAGGATAATAAGTGAATAATTTGCCCTTTATTTGCTTATTCTCTGTGGATATTTCGGGCAAGCTGGAATGAAACTTTCGGTTTATTCAGAACACATGACCTAGATGTGAATGTCACATGAGTGTGGTCCGTTGAGCATCCATTTTGGTTTAGCTAATTTGGCAGTTCAGCTACTTAATCCTTGTGGATAGTTGGTACACTGGCACATCTCGAGTATGAAAGTATACCCCGTAAGAATCCCAAGTTGACTGATGACAATATGCTGCAGACAGCTTCCAAAAGTTGGAAACGTGATCAGTGTGAGAAGTAGGAAGTTTTAAATGAGATCGATTTCACTACTGTACACCACTTCCGTATATTAAAATGGTGAGTTGAACCTTTTAGCTCCTACTGGACAAACGGATATTTGGGTAGTCTAAACTGGAAGTGAAACTTCATGAAACTTCATTTCATGGTTTGAGAGGTTGCTCTCGATACTTTCTAAACTCGTGGGTGGATCCGATTTATATATATATATATATATATATATATATATATATATATATATATATATATATATATATATATATATATATATATATATATATATATATATATATATATATATATATATATATTGTAATGCAACAACTTTTGCTCGGATCTGCGAGACCTCTGAAGTGAAAAGACCAGAGTCGCGAGTAAGTAGAGTACTAGTTTACGCACCCCACACACTGCGGGTTCTTCGGAACAGGGAGGTCTCCCCGTCAACCTTTCCTAGTTTTTTAATGTAATTCAATCCTGTAGCGCACATATTCTACAAAATAATCATTATTCCCCACACAATATTCAGCTACATAGATTTGAATCTGCTGAGTACTTCAGAGTGACATTAATCACTGATCTTCTCATAATATTACTTGCATGCGCAAATATCGATGCTTCATCTCTCAAACTCGAAAGCTCAGACAATTTCCCGTTGAATCTATACTCATATCTTCCTTTCTTCTCTAGCGAAATTATTGTTTTGCTCCCCTGCACTACTTTCCACACTGTTGACCTAAAGTATTAGTTTTACATAGAGGTATTTATATACTCAGTCGTATATCTTCCAAACGGTTTTTTGAACTGATAAACAAAATATGTGATTTTTACTTTATTGACTATGAAAACCTTGGTGGTTTCACGTGGAGTTACGTACGACTCGGTTGAAGTTACAACGACTTAACTTTGAATCAAAGTCATATGGTTACTTTTATTTTTATCTGATGTTATGTTTCCATTCTTCTTCCATAAGAGGAACAGTAGGCCGTTCTCTAACCGCCACCGCAACCAGCAACTGTAAGATCGATGAAAATATTCTATTTGGCTGTCACTCCGGCTCCGTGCGTGTGTGAAATTTATTCACTGAGAGACAAGCGTTGATTCTCCGGGACTTTCAGTTTGAAGTATTTTGGTCGGCTGTTGGGTAAAATATCAGTTACTTACAAAGGATATCGCAGCAGAAGTGGTTTACCATCAAAAACTGCGGAGGTAGTATTAAGGTTGTTTGGGGAAGACTGTTCGCATAGAACGGTAATGGGGTATTTCCAGTAAACTGCTAAACAATTTATTGAGTATAATAAAAGAGTGAATAATTAAGATTTTTTCTCGTCATGTTGGGATTATTGAAATCTACTGAGTCATCGTTAAGAGAGAAGAATAGTTATGATTTACCCGTTCCATACGCCTCGTTGAAAAGGCATTGGTTAATCTGTTCCTCATCATCCAAAACGCACTCAGTTCTGTATTTTGTAAACATGACTATAACAGTTACAACATTCTATTGTTTTAAGTCGACTATCGGCTGAACAATATATTTGAGAAAGCGAGGAATCATTCGCCGACAAGCTGGTCAGTTGTCCACGTGACTCACACACTGAAATTGAGCCAGATAACTGCGCACTTAAATACCGTCACGGAATGACCTTGATTGGTACCGGTGTGTGTGTGTGTGTGTGTGTGTGTGTGACAGATTTGATTTTTGTTGCACCATGACCACGAAACGATAGAAAAACAATTAACGTAGTTTATTTACTGAAAGGAATTAAATAGTGGCCAAGGTGGTCACTGTACGCACATGTTATGATTATGATTATGATTATGAGTATGATTATGATTTAGATCATGATTGTGATTATGATTACGACTACTATATTCACCAGTGACTTACACTTCCCTCTGGTAGTATGAGCAGTTTGTGAAAGGTGATCGCAAAAGCGACAAACAAACTGCAAAATATTGGTGCCATTTTCATTATCGTTTGACTGACTTGGATAAACATGACAACAAATAAACCGATCGAGCGATAGCTGTAAAAGGAAATAGAGTGGAGTAGAAAAACATGAAAGTTAGAAAATAAAATGGGGAAGAATAATGTTTGGACAATCAAGAAACGAACCAAGATCGTCTGGACATCGTTCGCTAAGGAGTCAGCAAAACCTATATGAAACAAAGACAAAAGTGACCGTGAACACGCCAAGCAAGCCATCCAAATGATTCGCCTCTCCAGCGCGTGTTGCTTTATATCTACCGGCTGAACAGGCATGAGCAGCCCACGTCCATGTTAGCCTGTAGTGACCTCGATCATGCCCATAAAATGACCGTTTTCTGGACATCGTTTTGGATTTATTTTCCACGCGATCTTTTCTGACGCTTGGATCCGACCTCACCGTTTTGCTCGGTTGCGTATGTTTAACTGAACTGACGTTTCCGAGGTTTCCGTTCACCTCGTTTTTGAATCACTTTCACTTTCGAGTTGTCACCCACTGTACACGCTTGCCGTTTGCTTTCTGCTTCATCGCTGCTTTCGTTTGCATTCCATGTATTTCTCGTATCGGTACTGTTTCGTTACCACGATATATAGAACGCACTTTCGCATCTGTCCACTTAGTCGAGCCTTCTCTATTCATTCGATGGAGGGGATTTCGTTGGTAACTCGCGGTAAAAACCGACAATGATTGGTTGTTCCATTTTTAACTTGTCTAATCATTGACACAGTTCTTTCCCACGTCGAGCCGATGTGTTCCGGTTCACACTAACAAGTTCATACGATAGGAGCCACAAATGGAGATCCTGTATGTAGACCGTTCGTTGGAAATAACGAATAGAACATGAGCTTTACTACATCTCCCACTTACTTTCATGTGGCAAATAATATCTGAGAATAAATATAAAGTGTTACCAAGTAACGTACTGGAGCATTTGGAGTAAAATATTCATCCAGGACATGAACATCACAAACACAGTCAGTGCACCGCAAGCAGGGCTATGTTGACCGGTCAAGTTGAGGACACAATTGACAATGAAGAGCACATTGAACAGAAGCAACCAACAGTTGATCCATCTGGTAAAATATTGCCAACGCTGTGAATTGGAATTTTGAATTGGGTTAACGAAATTCGTCTTCATTATCATACAGAGTTACGAGAGTGACTTAGTAGCAAACATAATACAGCAATATGAGTTCATTGACTGAGCTTGCAGTGAACAAACATTAAATTTCAATCGAAAATAATGAGTTAAAAACAACTTGATCATGAAATGATCTTTGAAAGTGGTTGGAGATTATTAAATTGCTATTGGAGTACTCTCGATTGCTGAGATTAGGAAGCAATATGAACATGTTCATTATTTGGCAGGAATCATTACTTTTGCATAAGCAGTAAGTTGCCCTCGAGAGAGATCGATCTCAGTAAGTAAGATCCAAGTGAAAATCGATATTCTTTACAAAATTGTGCAATACAAAACAAGCCAGCGATTTTACGGGCAACTATAACCCGACAAATGGAGGGGAAGGGAATCAAAGAATATCCTAACAGGTTCGGCTTCTGTGAATTATTGCCCAATACCAAGGAAACCTTTAGCGGCAGAATTCAATCCTTTAACCTCCGATGTGGTCGGATAATGGTCTAAACTATCCTATTGCCACCGATCGCCCATATAGAGAAACGATCAACTGTATCTCTTTTATTGTTTGCAATTCTTATTCTACGGTGCGTGATTCACTTATTACCAATCATTAGTGTTCAATATTTAGCAGTTTCTGTTTTGATCCATCCCACTAACTCCGCTATGAAGACTTTTCTGCCTTCGAACCACCGCGGTCTATTTGAACAAAATAGATCACTTATATGAGATATGTGGTGACCATAACCAAGTCCTTGAATGCAAACATATTGACTTCATTGTTATTGATGAGCGACTCTTCTGACTGGCTGGTCTGGTTGCAACCCGACTGGTTGGTTCAGCTCCAGTCGGTCCAGGCAACTGTTGGTCACTGATTCGTCCATCATCCGGCTTCGCTAGCCATAATCTTGTCTTCCATTCCAAGTAAGAAATGACTCAATGTCTGATCACCAAATCATCAGTCTGCTTCGCTGATTTCAACCTTGTTTTTGATTCTGGACGAGGAGGAGTTGAGCGTCGTACCAACAATTCAGGGCTTCTTTGTTCATATCTACTACTGCCCTCACAGTTTCTTTTGCTAGCAGATTTCCAAAACCAATATTTTGTGTAGTATAAAAGTCTATCGTTTGTCGAACTTAAGAAGGTTTACCGTTTTCAAGTATCACGTCAAATATATCATTGCGAAATCGAACTAGACAGCGCCCCCAACTAGTGCAGACTTCAAAAGTTACGAATCATTTCATTCTCCAGCGATCCGTTTTAATGGTCTCTAACTGATGGGGAACCCGTTTTACGAATTTCTTCAGGATTTGCTGAAAATTGGTGAGTATCACTAATTATCTACAAATTTTTCATCGAAATGCCTTAGCAAGTTATCCTCCCCGTAATTTGGAGTGGCAAAAATCTGGCAAGAGAAAATTACAGGATCAGAGCGGAACACATCTCACAAAATACTTACTTCACTTGATATTCTGATCAAACTTCCAACAACGTGAGCATTGCAAGTGACTGTCGCAAAAGCCAAAGTAGCAGTTGTGAAGGGTGAATGATACACGTCCCCATAGATCTGAAAATGATCAAAAGTTGTAAAAAATCCAAGGCCTAGTGGTAAGGAGAATGTGGTTTATAACTTCTGTGAATAGCATTAACAGGAGTGAGTGAATGCATGGAGAATAATGAGGAACTATCATCGGAAGCACTTCGGGTGCTTTATTCAGCCGACGGCCGGGACCACCATAATGACCGGGCGTGAAATTTATTTCCAATGACGGGCAGAAAAAATTTCCGAGTGAACGCTGTTTGTTCAAGACCAGGCCGACGCGGCTCAAGTCTAAGCAAGCAATCTCTAGATAGGCCTGTCCGTTCTGACAGCTACCAATGTAAGTTAAATTTATGCACAGTGACAACCCAGGCAGAGGAGACACAGCCTGTTCACTGACTTAAACTGTCACGAGTGACCAACGATTCAGTTCAGCCCACTTGTCCGTGCTACGGCCCATACCATTACCTAGATCGATGCTTCAAGTACATCAAAATGGAAATGTTGGCTCGCCAAAGTTATGTTTACGCTTTCGCTTTGTGTGGGCTTTGGTTGAACCCAACACTCACTGTTAGCCAAAACCATTCACGTAAGATTTTGGCGTAGACTGTTGCCGAACCTTGCAACGTCCCCTGCTGCATGTAGTGGCTGAAAATCTTACTAAACCGGTCAGAGTAGACGACATAGTCAGATCGAATGTAAGCTACAATTTAGTCGTGACCAGTGGTTCTGTTTCGTTAGTGGTCGTTGTTTCGACTATCCCGATTTCTAGGACTGTCAATCTAGGAACTTAGTTTCAATAGCTCTACGCACGATATGTGCAGAACACGGTTACGGGCAGTAGAACAATTTCAATTGAATGACCGTGTTTGCCAATAATTCGTGGTTCTAAACAGTACAATAAGCATAAATATACAGCAAAAAAGACTTACAGTCATGTAAGAAACCAAGAACAAAGGGCGGAAACTTTTGGAAGTTCGGGACAGCGCAGAAAAGAAAACTGTTCACTTAGTAAGCAGCTGAACGGGACTGTAGTACAGTTTGGTCGCGGTACAATCAGCAAATCAAATGGCTTTTACCACCACAAATCACTAAATCACTTACAAAGGTGTGAATTAGACTGTGGTTACGATACGAAAGAGAGTTATTAACAAATGAGTACAAATAAGCTGAGTCTGTTGGATATACAGAAGCACGTGACAACATGAGTGGACGAATGCGGTACTAGATCTGTTAATGTCGTTGGTGTGTAGTGGTCGGTGGTGGAGTGCAGTGAGAGGAACTTAGAGGTTGAGAGTTCAAGCCTCAGCACGGCTGTGCATTTGAGACACAGAAAGACTATCTAGTAGTACAAATGCAAGCCTTTGGGTGAATGAAGTTATGAATAAATATGTGAACTGCTCATTTAATAGGCTCCGTAAAAAATGCGAGTATATACCAATATGCTCCCTTAGAAGGAGAGAGAAAATGTCTTGCGAATTTCCGAGGTTCACGATGTACGTACTCACTACTCGTGAGTAACTAAACAGGGAAGGAGAAGGACAAACAATAATTATGAATAGTAATTAACTGTCGTGAAAGTAAGGCTCCGTGGTATCAAAACCTAATATGTCGTATACACCTCGCTGAACAACGGCTCGGACTCTATTAAAAACCTGCAAGATGCCACAGAGAGATTAGGACTGAAAACCATTTCAAATAAAATACGATGTTTCTATTTCGTGCAGCCTCTAAATTCTAGCTGCCAGTAGAGTTAAGTTTTGTGTCTGTACAGTGGCATCGGGATCTTAAGAGACCTTCGTGCAGTCCTGAGCTGTCGATCAGTTCCGTCCACCATTCGGTTGACACTGGATGTTAAGCAGCTTTCTGACTGAGGTACTTAGTCGGACTATGTTTAGACGACAAGGACAACCAGCTAATATTTAAGTTAATCAGTATTGATGTACCTTCTACACATTGGGTTCTAGAGAACCACACGGGAAGTCCACAGGACCTTATGCTACTCTGACTTTGTTCGGCTAGGTTGTTCTTGTTCCTTTGGGTTCCATTGAGTCACATGATATAAGCTACTACCAGATCGCCTAGTCGAGTGACAACGAACTCCAGTCGAAAGTTGAGTCCTCGTTCTCATTCGAGTTTAAAGAAATATTTTCAAGTGAGATAGACTTATCAGACGAAGGTAAGCGCACAGTTGAGATTGCTAGGCTGCTAATACTAAAGATAATTGATCATTATCAACTGTCCCTACCTAGGAGGGAGAGCTTTTCCACATTACGGTCGAAATGCCTTGCATCGAATTCAGTCTGAGTAGAATAGACTACGAAAAGATGTGTGCTTCGGTTTTCTCCAACTATTTAGACAAGGGTTACGTCAAAAGTGCCTAAAGGCCGTTCGTTGTGGCCAACAACGTGTCAGTTCGTTACTTACCCCATCATCCGGTAGTGTGTCCACATAGGCCAGGTAAGGTATGTGTAGTATTGTATTACACATGTCAAGCCTGCTCAGCGTCTCTAAACTCACAGCCACTCACTGATGTGGATATGATTACTAGTCCTATGGGAGTGCTGCTTCGTTTACACAAGTGCACGTTCGTCAGTACAGCCGACACCGAGTTCATATTTCATCAAGTCAAAATTCCGGAGGAAGATGGAGACTGTCTTCGATCACTGTGGAGAAGCAATTTGGAGAGTGACAGGCCACCAGTGTTGTTTCGGATGACGATACATCCGTTCTGCGCAACTTCGATGCGAGACGAGAACCGACTTTTCTGACCAAACGTTCAATCCTGTACTAAACTGCCTCGATTTATTACCCTCTCGAACTTATTGATCTCGAAGTTGTACTAAGTTGATTAGTACTCTAGGAAATTTTCAGAACCAAGAGTAATTGGAATGATCTTTCAGTAAAAGATCATTTTCGCATGTGGCAGAGATGGGTAAGTCAGACGAAGCAATTCAGAATGTTCCAGGTACCTAGATTTTCCACAGACGATTCACATTCGGGCAAAATACTTAAAATGCATTGCTTCTCCGTTGTCTGTCAATCAGCTCATGGCACAGCAGTCTACCTACAGTGCAGATGAGGTGATGTACAGTTTGGCTGTATTCTTATGTGTGACAAATCCCGTGTGGCGCCGCTAAAGGCCATTGCCATACCACGTGCTGAACTTAGTGACAATGTAATATCAGCTAGGCCTGGCTTCTACAGTTTAAACAGATTTGGCTATACCCGTGAACCGGATGGTGTACTTGATTGATTCAAAGATCGTTCTGCAGACGCTTTGCAATAAATGTCTCGCTTCCAGGCCTTCGTGACGAACCGAATATCTGCCATTCGAGACCTGCCAGATGTAATGAATAGTGCTACGTCGACTCCGGAAACAATCCTGTGGAATACGTCTCATGTAGGCTACCGGTCAAAGGACAACAGGATAGCGCGCAGTTTTGAGGGCCGGAACTTTTAAATAATAATAAGAAAGCCAGAGCAACAGTACGATGAAGTGGTCAGATTGAGAATCACCCAGAACCTTCATGTCTGCAGTGGTCTGGGCTCATTTTCATTCTTCCGACAGATTTGGACATCACGGATTTTATGTTTGTCTCCTGAGAGCTGTAGTTTGCCTAAAACGTTTTTCAGATTAGATCGGGGACATGAGAAAACCCCTCCCATTCGAGAAATCAACGACTCGTGTACGACTGTTTTAAGACTGACGCACACCGCGGCTTTCGCTACGGAAACGAAAATGTTAAAAGGGGTTCAGGAGTGAGAATCAAGGATGATACTAAAAGTCTGTTCTCTAATCTCAGCCCATTCATTTCCGAGAGAGTAATTTAAGTCGATTTAAATGGAAGTGGAGCCTTTCGGGGTGAAGCATCCCGTTATTATTTCCTGAAATCATTTATGACTAATCCATTGATTAACTTTTATCATGAAATCAATGGCTATTTCGAAACAAATCAGGTCCTGGCTATCTATCGGTACGGAATCAAGAAAGAATCTGGAGAACACTGTTTAGCGTAGGGTGAGAGCGGGAGTTTCAGGTACCTACGACCGGCTGCCAAGGGGTGTGTGGAAGTGGTTGATCCGGATTGTTCAGCGAATTATGCGTTGAATCATAACGGAAAGCCTAGTAAACGACGAGGAGTTACTAATTACATTTACTGAAGTTGAAAAGACTATGATTGACAGGTTCTCAGTGAGTTTAACATCTGGCTCGAAAGATTACGCCGCTCTGACACTGAACCATATTCTGTTGCTCAGCCGAAATCCTAAAATAATTCATTCTGATGGGAGCCGTCTAACGTTGACGAGGAGTTTTGGATTCCCTGGAAAAGCGAATATATACCCACGTTGCAGACAGTCTATTGTTGATTAGGGTGAAGAGGACATTTAAAATCCGGGAAAGTAGTTCAAATGGGTAATCAAAATGCTCCTAGGGAACAGTGGGCAAAAGAGTCAATCAACAGGATCCAGGAAGCAGGTGACGAAAAGACACTGGAAGTTTACGTTCGGACGAATAAGGAAATTTACCGGAGGGACTTCTGTTAAATATATCACTCTAAGGTATCAGACGAGCCAAGTTTTGAAGATGATGCGAACCAGTCCAGATCACATACTAAAGAATATAACTAACTCAATTCGGAGGAGACATGTTGAATCCCCATGGCAATCAAGTAATATTATTCTCAGCCCAAACCTGTTTTGTGTACTGAGGATGCTTACGTTTTGCTTGTCGCAAAGTATTGATCATTATTCTGACTTTTACAGTTTCAATTTTGATTGTATTTCACTTTCTATCTGCTACTTAGATCATTGACGCTCATTCACATGAAAATGATTTCCCACTTAAATTACAATCCCCAACTGGCTCTAGACTGACACTCAACCATTTAGCCAATCTGGTCGCGTTGTAAAATCGGCCAGTCACAATTTGTGACACGCACTCAACCCATCAGTCATTGTCCGCCTTTTTTCTGAACTCTGTCTGGCACAACACTCGAAGAATGACTTTTAAGAGACACAGAAACGTAAGCAATCAGTCGCCTTTGGCTTTTCCTGGTTGTTTTCTCGCTACACAGGGGACTTCTTACGGTTATTCACTTACTGACTGCCCCCAAAGTCTAATTCTGACCATGACTGCCGTTTTATTACAACTGATCTTACGTTCTACTTGGAATTGTGATTTTGTTTGCATTTAGTACCAATTCTCATTGTTCCAGCCGTTCACTGCATGCTGCTACAGCCCCAAACGGTAGTAATTTTGTATGCGCTTTCATCTTGCCGTTCGTACACACATTCACGGTTTCTAACCACTCCTTATCCTATTTGACACTGTGTAAGACCGAGCATTCATTACCTGTTGGATACAAGGAAGTGCAGGATTCTGCGATGATGATGATGCTGAAGCTGATGATGATGACGATGATGATGATGATGATGATGATGATGATGATGATGATGATGATGATGATAATAATAATAATAATAATAATGTTGAGGATGAAGATGATACATGTGCCAAATAGCATCCGTGATGAACAGTATGGTTTACTTTATGGAAACTGATCATCACCTGTTCGTAATCTGTATTTCCTAATGCATTTATATATCCTAAATTGTGCTATTGATTTGTCCAATTAACCCAGTCGCATGCACATAGAAACACGTCTACTGCAACACACACACACACATTATATATATATATATATATATATATATATATATATATATATATAAACACGATGCGGAGTTCGGCCCAAGCAGTATCGACAGTCGATCTCGCCACGTAACGAATAACATTCCCTGGCCTGAGTCGAGTGCACGCTTGCGCATGTATTCAACTCTTGTCAATAGCTTGTTTACATCATTGACCTGTCTTTTTGCCCACCCATGGGCCATGGCCTAGGGGTTGCATCCACATGCTTACCATACATGAAATAACAACATAATTTGTTACACGATTAAACTGGAACGGAATAGTATCGAGCATGACCACAAACCAATTAAATTATCACTTTCCCAATTTTGTTGATCGATTCCCATCCTGATAATGAAAACATTCAACTTGAAGTTTTCTCATATAAAAAGATGAAATTCAGAATACAAATAAACGCTTTATGAGACGCTATTTGTAGAGGGAGAATAGAGCTAAATCTTTTTCTGTTTCGAAAACAATGTTGACACCGATTGTTCGTGTGTGTGAGTGTGCTTGTGTGCATGTATGTGTATGTGTGTGTGGAATACTGCCAGTGCATCACACTTACACGTCGGAAGTTGTATTTGTGCACGCACTTTCGAACTTACCGTTTCCATGCAGTTTTGTATTTGTGGTTCATTGTAGTTCACTGTGAGGGGCATTTGACTCAACGCAAACCGAGTAATGATGAGGCAGAGCATTGCGTAATAGACCATCTCGAGTAATTGTACCCAGCGTCCATAAGTTTCCCTGATTATGTAAATAAGCACGCATGTACTCAGATTATCGTGCGACAGAGAATTGATGTAGTTAATAGTGACATGATTACGGATGCCCAAATTCTAATTCAGCCTACGGGAACTCAAACATCTTGTGATCGTAGTCGTATTATGTACGAAAAATCCCACAGAACACATTGAGAACAAAACAGCGTGATGAACAAGCTCGTTTTCAGTTATTCGTACCCATACCAATACATAACATTAAATATGACTCAAACCAACAAAGGGGATGATCATCCAGATCTGTCTGTGCACATGTGTGTGTGCGTGTTTGTGTATGCTTGTAATCATATTAGGTGATTAGAAAGATGTTAACTTGTCCTATGATATCCATCATTTTGATCGAGAATTGCTGAAAATCTTGGAGAGATGTTTAACAGTTTTGTTTACCCATAAGGCCGCACCTGTGTTTGCCATGAAACAGAGCACAATCGAACCAATCTGGACATAACTGACGAACAAATATGCCACCTTATCACTGCTAGACATCGGTTTCATCGTGACGACATGACCATATCATATAAGCGTAGATGCACAAGATGTCACTTATATCCTACACATCAGATTTCCATTTCTTTCCTCTCAAGAGGTCTGTTCCATGCGCGTTGCAACATCTATTTATATAATGGGTACCGAAGAAAACCAATGAAGTTTCCTTTGCGAAATTCTAGCTGTTTAGCCAAAAATACACATGACGAAGTAATTCTTGTGAAAACGAAAATAGGAATAAAAAGGAATAAACCAACTTCCTTGATGTTCTTCAACTGAGTGACCTATTGCCTTTAGAATGCAATGAAAACACTTTTGATTTTCTTTCGTAGTGTATTCCATGCAAATGTGACAGAGAGAATCACCTTCAATGTTCTGAATACGACATCTCATTTTCTGTTGTATTCCAGTTATCGGAACAGGAGGGTGCTATTCGATTCTGAGCAAAATTGATTTAGTTCCTGCTCAAAACTGACTGATTACTTTACCCACAAACATGCCAAATAACTCACGGTGACCTGGTTTGTACGTGAGAGATGTAGTCCAAAAACAGCTAGCCAAAAAGTAATACACATATGCTAACTCGGATTAGCAGAATGCGAGTACCAAATTAAAACAGCCTTACTTCGCAAGTACACTGTGAGTGACCTCAAATTGGAATTAGCGTATTCGAAAAAAGATAATACATTTCACAGAAATAAACATACCATTTCATAGTCAGATAAGCGGTACAGAGTGGATGGACCAAAAGATCACTGTGTTTTTCGTTTAACATAATCTGTAATTTAAATTTTGGAACATTTATGAATATCTTTCTTGCGAACAGTTTCCGTTTATAAGTCCTCGGTGGGAGTCATACCACGAATATTCTCATGAAAATATGTGTGGATTATTACAACCATTTACAACGAGAATTTGATGAAACAATAATAATAATTATGCATGCCTGGACATTTGGTCGCCGGCCGTTTGGCCGAAAGAACCTTTGCTCGCCAGACACTTCGATGATTGAGTTATATTGTATTCACTCAAGTCTGTCGAATGTCGCACCCTTAGGTGTAGCCCATCCCCTTGGCTATTCTCAGGATCTATAGTTAACACTTGGTAGTCCAGAGTTATAGAGGCAAACATTGATCACGAGTCCATGAGCGGAAAGACTTACGCTTTGCTGGTATGATTTGCTATTTAATCCGGTTTCGAAGACACAAAGTGCGAATACATCACAGTCAAATTCTTTTGTCCTTTGTGAACTCACAACAGCTTCACTCTGAAATTCCTAATGTCGAAGGCTTGAAACAAAGGTCAGCTGAAGAGACAAACTGCCGTCCACCACAACAGTGACCAGTGAATCTGGAACTCAAGTGTTTGTCCTTTTTGAGGTGATAGACACTTGATCCACTTGACTACCTCAGTGTGTGAACAAAATTATTCGCCTTAACGATTACATGCAGATAGCAAAACAGGATTTATTACTGGCCTTGTCCTAACCACCGACTGCCTTCAATAAACATTTCACAAACATTTCCATATTGTTTGCAATAAATGCGAAGATATTTGCCTCACTTGTATGTCACTCATTCCATGAAAGTTTAGTGCAAAAAGGAGCTCAGTAATAATACCTGTGTGATATTTGTGAAATGAACGGGAAGTGTCAAGTTATGTTACGAGTTCACCACACAATCATTGGTGTTTGCTGTGATGTTTTTGTTTGGATATATGGTGCATTTTATCAGTTTGTTCAAACAAAAGTATTTAACACAAAAACAAATTGAACATTCATTTCTTGGTTTCTCCATGGGTCCTTTTACAACTTTCTGGATTGAAAAACAGTTCTTATTGTACATTGTCCGTTACACACGAAGTCCTCTGATGTGTGGATATTGTGATAGATTTTATGTCAGCATCTTCATTCATCTTTCCGTCTCAAGCAAGTTATGTGCAAGCCCCATTAGTATTGAACTCACCTTCATTAAATGGAAAGCTGAAGTTGTTTTCCGGGTTTGATCGCCTGACGAAGGCTGGAACATGGTGAAATCAAATCGGGTCTGTAAGTAGGAGAGTGGATGAAAGCGGAATGATCACCTAAACTAGGTGCGTAGGATACCTTGCAATACGGTTAAGCATCAAGTGAATCAGGCGTTAATTGAGACCTAACTAGTCAACCAATCAAACTGAATAAACGACTACCGATCTAACCAACTAACTAACGAGCTAACTGAATAATTACCTATTCGAACAATTTAATAAATGTATTTTATAGTTAACTGGTGTCAAATTGGCATACCAATTATATTAGAAAATGATAATTTTACTCTCCGCATTAGCACTGATATCACGAAATTTTTTTGACACATTTCAGATGTTAGTGGTACCAAATAAAAACACTGCCGTGGTTATGCCCACTACGAATAGCATTGTGTTTTACCCTCGTTTATTGACCAGCTACAACCCAATGTTAAGACAAACAACAAATTGGTTTTGCAGGCTTTTACCTATCAATCTAGGTGGCTGTCTTGTTTTGTTCACACAGCAAAGACTCACAAATTGACCGCATTCTGTGGTGAAGAAGCAACCACGTTACCGTACAGACACAAAATAAATGAGTGTTTTCGACTCCTAATTCGTTCATCTGCAGGATAGTCTGAGGTCGATTGTAATCTCGTCCAGGGTACCTGTGAGACCACTAATCTATCGATCGTCAGATGAAAGGTGAACACCATATTAATCGGGATACTTTACGTTTATGCTAGAAGTTGCAATTGCTTGGTACATAATAACGCCCGTCAGACATTAGTTACACAACCATGATATCAATTGAACAATCAAAGTTCTCATTTGAATCCCTTCGTACTCATGTTCGCGTTTTCTTGCACGGCAAACTTTCATGTCTGCAATGAGTGTCGTCTCTCGAGAACCGTACTAAATAAGAATTAGCCAAATATTCACTCGGACATGTATGTTTACGTTCTCCTGGCGTTTTAATTCACATGGCAGGCTTGGTTCGTGAAATATTTCAAAGTAGTTATTTTATTCTGGCAGTGATTTACTGTAATATCATCCAAGTCATTCAGACTGGATGGAAATCTTGTTTACAGAGCTGGTTACTTAGGAGAATAGTGGATGAACAACCTACCCCGTGGTCTCCGGTGTTTCGTGTCCCACATTCCGTGACGAACTGATCCATAACCAACTGTGAAGCCGAAAAGGAAATCCGGGAATACGAATCAGCTGTGGATACTGGAATGGTGATTCCGGTTGATCACTAAGATACAACCCCTCCGATTGGAAACGGATGAACTGAAATAGTTTTTTGGTGTACATGAGTCAAATAGGTACTTCCCCAGGGAGCTAAATTGAGCCTGATAGAAACACAGGTGAGCTCGATAATGCATCCTATCGGATCTTGATGAAATCTTGAAAGCTTCGGTTAGATAAAATGTTGAACAATAACCTGCAGGATATTGTATTTATGGTAAACTGATGAAATAATATACATGAATCTAGCGTTTGAGTATTTCAATATGTGAATATTATTTGTTGTAACACCCTAACACTCTCAAACACTGATGATGATCCAAGTTTGTTAGAGGAAGCAATTCAGTAACAAGCTCTGGCCAGATCCTGTTTACCAGCAAACTGCTACGACCACAGAAAGAGGCGGTTAAGATGTAGATTGCATCCATCAACCTGGAGCCATGGGCAGAAGAATTCATGGCCACTTCAGCAATAGACCGCCACCAAGAAAACGGAGGGTACCAAGGATCAAACGGTTCGCATTAAAACCTCTGCAGTTAGAAAGATGAACCGAATCGTAAGACTTATTTTCCCTGCAAGTTATTGGGGACCATTAGGACATACAGGCACGAATTATGTGTAGAAAAATAAGTATACAACTCACAAAAGCCCATGATGAGAAAGGACACGGTTTACACAAGTCGCATGTGAATCGATTATGGCAGAATCGCTCATGATAAAACAGATTAATGAGACGACTGCACAAATTTTGCCATTTTGAATTGTGTGCTGTGGTAAACCCCACTATTTTCTCATCACAACGCTACTTGGAAGTGTTGGAAAAATATATTCCATCACCTAGGTTGTCGGGCGCATGCTGACCAAGTGAGATTACGTTCATTCGTATCATCCTTGTTAAATACCTTACTTATTCTTGTTAACTCCAAATATGTGAAGCGTGCGGTCCTCAGAATTAGGTAAAATATAAACTATGTTGATCCCTCATAACTGTTTTAGCTTCTCAGTTTCCAGTACGGAACACAAACAAGAAAAGCACACGTGGATCGAATTTTATATTTCCAAACCGTACCGCAGTGTAGTGGAAGAGGTCA